TCACAGCTGTAGGTAAAAGATGCTCTAGAGTCTGGAAGTACCCTTGTGCCAAATCATACAATAGTAACAGAAGACTTGCACAAGGTTTTACAGTTCAGTTATTGCAGAGATAAGATGTAACTGTACCCTGATTTGCAGATTAGATTAGGCTGATTTTAGACAGGTCATTTAATCTCTGTCCTAGTCAATCTGTGGCACAGTCTGGGTCATTATTTGCAGTTTAAAAGCCTCCAGAGAGAAGGCGGCTGTTTCCTTGGGCACAGTGCTCTGACAGCATGGCCTGCTGGCAGCCTGTATACCAGAGTTGTTTGGGTCTAGTCAGCTCTCAAGACAGGCAACAGAGCGTGCTACTCCTGCTTCCCTTCATCCAAGATTTCTGAGTGTATTTACATCAAAGGAATCCAATACTCTTTAAGACCTTCCAGACAAGTCACGTCCCTGCCCTTTGGGAATGAAACCTCCATGTGGAATGATCCCTCAGGTCTTAGGGAGCTTCTAAGGCCTGAGAAGTTTTAGACATCAGGACAACTTCTGCAACCCCAGCTCAAAAACTTTTCTATTTACATTGAGCATAAATTGCAGGGTTTACTGCTTTCATGCAAGTTCACACACGGGTGCTGTGTTAGGCATGAATGGCAGAGTTCAGGCAGGGCTGCAGCAGTGACAAGTATGGGAGGAGACCATGAACTGCCCTGTGCCAGTCAACTCAGAAAACCATGTAAACAGCCAGGCATGAGCCAAAACTTCAGCCAGAGGAGCACATGGCACCTCTACTTAAACATATTTAAGAAAGAGCAGCAGCTACTAGGGAAGGAGACATGAGGACACATGTAAGGAGACATGTGGTGTGACTGTTAAAGAGACACATGCTCTTAGAAGGAGGCATCCCTTCCATGTCATGGCTTGCAGGGACAAAAGCACAGAGGAAAAATAAGTAGAGAAATGCCAGGCAGAAGCCATTTGCACACAAGGCCGACCTCCTTGGCTGCCCATCACCTCACAGAAGGAATTGGGACAGACTGAAAGTAACCATGAAAAAACAAGGGAAGTTGAGACCAGGCACTCAAGGAAAAGTGCTTACCATATTTAACCTCTAGAGTTTGACCTCTTGATGCTTCCCTCATTACATCACCACTGGGATCAGAAACCTCTAGCAGCATAAGGACTAATTCTAAAAATCCCTGCTCCATCTTTTTAGTCTAAGAAGTCACCCGTTGCATGCTAGAATATTTGAATGATGTGCTCCTGGGTTTAGAGGTTTATGAAGGTTTTTTATTGGCACACCTCTTTCTGGTTTAAATGCCTGGCTAACCACAGACTTCATGGTTTCTTTCTGGCCTCAACACTGGCATGGGACTTTGCCAACCCAAGCAAAGAAAGTACTAGTGCAGGGAAAGCCAATAGCTCTTTGTCTTCAGTAGCTGACTTTCAGGGAGATGGTTTTGTTCTTCAAAGGACAGAAGCAGCTTGTTTGGGTCTGTTATGCTGTTCCTCTGTTAGACCTCTGCTGAAAATTATCCCCAGCCTACCAGAAAAAGAAACTGTGTATTTGATCCATGCAAACTGGATACAGCAGACAAATGTACCTGAGCAACCAGATAGATTAAAAAAAAGCCTTCAGTAGACAAAAAGAAGATACTTACTCCAGATTTACTGATCAGATCTCATCTTGGCCCTGCAGAGATTTCACCTGTTAAAACTCTTCAATCCTATCCTGCCCAGACACTAATATCTACAATTAGCCCCAGTCTTAAGTGATATCCCATTCCTAAACATACTTAAAAGTCTTTCATCCTTGCTAGCATCACACACCTTGCAGAAACTACCCCACACTTTTTGACATCTTCTGCTCTTTGGATCTGAGAGTCCACCAAAGAAAGAGGTACCAGTGACTCCTAGCTTTGGCCCTAACAGTAGTAAGCTATTGACCCCTTCTCCCACCAGCCTACTGCCTAGACTGTTGTGCTATAAGCAATAAAGAAGGAATCTCCCACTGCATAAGGGCATAATGCATTTGGATCCTATAATATCTGTGCCTTTTAAAAAATACATTACATTTTAAACTCAAGTAATTTGTCCCTTTCACCTCACTAGTAATAGCAAACTAGCTCCAGCCTTCCCTCTGAACAGAGCAAAAAGCTGAACTATTCACCTCCTCCTCTACCTTATGGTGTGCCAGGAAAAGGCAAGAAAAGGGCAGTCCAGCTACTCACAACCACACTAAGATGTAGCCCAGCTCCTGGGCCTTTGGCATGGTGCTTTACAGAGGAGCATTCGCACCAGTGTGCTCTAATTACCACTAAGAGTGGGGAAGGAGGCAATGCAGGTCCGAGGAGATATAGCTGGCTTCACAAGAGCCTCGCCTGTGTTCTCTAGCAGCAAGTTTCTCTAGCAGCATATCTTTAGTCATATAAGTGTAGTTGCTCTTTAAAAAAATAGGGGAGGTATTATAGTCTTTAATTCACAACTCAAGCCACAAGAAAGCATTCTGTATGGCCCAGCTATTTAACAAAAGAGCATTTGTGCTGGAATACATAGATTTTATTTTCAGTAACACAGAATTTATTGATATTTCCCAAGCAACCATTAAAAGTTGCTGTGGAATTGCAATCAGACTATAATAGATGATTCACATGTAATTCACAGTTTCTGGTGCACTCTATTTTTTACCTCAGTCATGCTTAGCCATAATATTAACAACGGACTGCCACCTGGTGTCCAGAAAGGGCTAGAGCTCACTCCAGCTGGCAGTTATATGCATCAGAACAGCCTTGGCTGTAAGCTCTCAGTTCGATCTTCCCCATGTCAAGAACTAGAAATGCCACTAGATGCCATGTAGGGGCATTTCAAAACATGTTAGTTCGAAGGAGGGATCTTCCCCTCAGCTCCTGAGATAGTGAATGAATCAGCTCTCCCTCCTTTTGCTGTGAACATTACACTGTATACTTTTACTGTCATGCTTCTTATGGGCAGAAATCCTTTACCGTAGGAATTTCCAACCTAGAATATTTTTAGTAATCTCCATTTTGAGTGCACACCATACACTACAGAGGAGTGATGTTTTCTTGCAAGTTTTCCAGCTACTGGGGGCGGGGGTTGGTTTTTTTGTTTGTTTTTTTGGGTTGTTTTTTTTTTTTTGGAGAGTAGTGGGTTTTTTAGCTTTGATTTATATTCTGATGTTATGCAATCAGACACAAAGAAAGAACAGAAACAGTCTTTCTGTTCATCTCATGTTACTGTGCACTTGCCTAGATCCTGTCTCTAGTGGACTCAGGAATACTTCCTTGATGGTCATGAGGTTGCAAAGTTACAAAATTTTCTGAAGGGGAAGATAAGCCATTGTTATCTCCACTTTATTTCAGCCAACAACACTGCTTAATTTTAATCATGGGCTTAAGATCATTCCCACTCTGAGAAAGGAACAGAAATGCTTTGCTGAATTTGAAAACTAAGGGTAATTAGTTTAAGAGGTTAAATCTACTGTTTTCATTAACAGTCACTCTTGGAGCACAGCTTATGCCTCTTTAAGTCCTAGTCTCAAACTGCTGGAATCCAGCCCATCTCAAAATTCAATTTCTGTGGATCTCAGATTAAGTTATCTTTCCTACCCCATCCCCCCATTTCCCATCAATTTAAAAGGGTGGAGATTCCTGTTATCCCCCATGACTTTTGACAACCTTGGCTTAGATCTCTTTGAAAATCAAGGACTAGCTTTGCTAAGATACATAGATACCTAGGGAGCCTAAGTCACATCCTAGTGGGATTTAAGATCTGGAAGATTTCTGATTCATGAGAAGGGACATCCTAGCCCGAGACTGATGTAATGGTTGCTGTCCCACCTGTCTGCCACTTCTCAGAGTTTCCTACCCCATTGTCCAGACATTTCAGGAGCTGCCATGTGAACACCTGCCAGGACGTTACAGCAGGCCACAATCCCCAGGCTGCACCAGTTCATACAGGGCTGTGAAACACAGCAGTTCAACTACTGTGTGGACATCTGAAATGTCTGAGCAGTGAGGATAGGCACTTCAAGCAGCTTGGTGGGCCAAGCAGCCAGGACAAACTGCCAGCAAAGCTGTGCTCATTTATGCATCTGAAGCAGTTATCTTACTTTCCGCTGACCACAAAGGAGTATGCCCATTTGGCTTGGCACTTAGTTTCTGCAGACATACTAATCTGTGAATTGTTGTCCTTCCAGGACCACTGGATTCAACCTTTCAAGCCCTCCCTGCATCTGTTTGCCATGCTGACTGCCCCGGAAGCTGCAGAGCATGCCTGGAAGCAAGGTGAGCACATTTCACCCCAACTCCCCCAAGATCAGGGCAGGGGGAGATGGGGCAGCAGCACCTGGCCCAGCAGAGCTACCAGGCTACAGCCTGCGGGGCTCCAACAGTTGCACATGAAAAGGATAGTGTAAACCTTGGTCTGCACCTATTCTCTTGCAGGGGGTGAGGTACAGGCATTTTCTCATTGTAGCCTAGAAATAATGTATTGCTCAGGCTCCTGAAGTTCATGACAATTGCAAAAGAAGCATTTTCCTCAAGTTGAAGTAGACAATAAGATTACATGCTTCTAGTAGAATCAGTCTTCATGTCTAACAATCACTTGTTTGTTCTTAACCTTGGAATAATACTAGCACTTTTGCAAGGGTCAGTTATGCTATTGGCCAGTCAAAGAGCCATCCCCCCTTCCCTGCTTCTTCTGCAAGTGCAACAAAAATGAGAGTAACTTCAGGAGCATTACAGAGTTTGAAGCTGAGACCCCTTACCTCCAACTATGTATTGCAACTGATCCCATGCAGTACATCTGTAAACCATCCTGGCGGCACTCTGTAAGCCTAAGATGATGCAAGGCTCTTTCTTGCCTCCCAAGGCATCAAGTACCAGAGAGCAGCAGCATATCAAAAGACCAACCCTTGTTCAGCAAGGGGAGCTAAAAACGACAGTAAGCAACTGGACTCTCACCAGAGGAAAGCAACAGGTTGAGAAAGTAGGTCTGAAGAATTCACACAAGCCAGTTAAGACTGGTTTTGTAACACTACCATTGAATGTCACAGCTAGAGCAGCACCTCAGGCCACCCAGAGCTTACAAAGCCTTTCTTGTCTGCCCTTCTCAGTACTCTAGCTTGAGGTGTTTCATAGTAGCACTAATTAATAGTGCTAATCCTACATTGAACGGCAACTGTATCATACCTTGGCAGGCGGTGTCACTCATGAGCTGGAAAGTCAACTCCGGTAATATTCAACAGATGCCTGGAAGGCACTCTTCTGGCTAACATACCTGCAAAACATTCACTGCTATCACTTTAAGTTAAGAAACCAGTTGAAGATTATTTTTTTAACATTAACAAAAACCTGACTCCATAAAGAACCCAGTAATGTCAGATTAGCCTAGCATGTACATGAATTAGGCTCTGCCTTTCTATTTGTCCATGATTTGCTAAAGCCTATTGTTTGCTGCAGCTCCACTGAGCAGGAGGGCTAAGAAAACATTCCAGCAGGATTTGACCAAGTAGAGTAAAGGGGCTGCCCCACAACCCTGAGTTTAACATGCATCACATGTCACACAGCAGGAGGGAAGCTGATCTGCCATGCAGTCCCCATCTCTCCTGATGGATTCAGCCCTGCATGCTGTGCTTGTGCTTATTAACATTTGCATCCTGCAGGGAGCTACAGAAGCAAAACAAGGAACCTCTCCAGAGAAGCCTGGAACAGATTCAAAAGCAAGGAATGCAAAGGAAGCAAAGACATAACAAAGACCCAGACTTCTTGTACCTCACTTAGCTGTAGGTGAGCTAACTGATGTCTTCTGCCTTAGCTTTAGGTAATACATTTGCAACTTGTGTTTTGGGGTTGTTTTTGTTTTTAAATCTTTGCAGTTATTCCTTCCTTCCCACCCCTCGTATCTTATATCCAAGACTGACATTCCCACCTCTTCTCTGCCAGTGCGTTAGGAGGTTACATTTTCCCAGTGCATGCCTACTGCTTCTGAACACACCATGCTGCTTTTACAGAGCCAACAAGAGGATGCAGCACTTCAGAGGCAGGGAATACACACTTCCCCTTGTCCACAGTGCTGTGGAACTCCCACACATGATCCAGAGTGGGGAAAGTAATGAGCTTCCCTGCATGTGACATGAGGGTTGTGCCTCTCGGGATGATCTCATGTTCTACAGCTCTCCCTTTTAACCATTCTTAAAGGACTCTGCTAAAGAAAAGCCTCTCCCTGCAGTGCCAGTGTAGCACTGAAGCTTAACTGCCTCGTTTGTAGGTCTGTAATGGTTTGCCTCATGTCCATGCTGTGCTGCCCAAGCATACTCCCCGTTTCCTAGATGGGCTGTCACAACCCCTCATCCTTGCCCTAACTCTACCTTGGGATAAGAATTGGGTGCACATGGTTCTCCTTCCACATCCTTCTCTTCCTCTGGCTACAAGCCTGGGCACATAGCATGGGGTGTTTTTATAGGACTCTTTCTACTTAATTCCATAGAAGTTTCAGGGCTCAACAGGGTAGTAAAAAGTGTTCACTGCTAAGAGGTGTGTTTAACACTAACTGCAGGGTAGAAAGAGTCCATTAGAGCTCTTCACATATAAAAATTATAGAAATGAAGACTCCCAGCGACCTCTAGTCAGGGGATAGATATCCATCCAAAGTATGGTCATATATTGTACAGTTGCATTAACCCATGCCTTGGAGATGGTCCTGTACTCTAATGCAAAATATCTGCTAAAGGAAAAAACAATAAACACTTGTGAAGCAAAACTGGTTTTCTTCTGCCCACTGATTCTCAGTCACCGAGCCTATTTATGGAGATGCCAAAAGACAGCACTACACAAGAAAGCCTGGGAATAGTTAAACTTAGTCAGGGATTCAGAGGGTCTTTTAGAAGTCCTCATGAACTCAAAGCTTGCTTTCAGCTCTCTAGGTTCACAGCTTTTTTTAAGCATAACTTATCACAAATTTCTTGTTAAAATCAGTCTAAAACAAAATGTAGTTGCTGTAAACACCTGTCCTTTCACTTCTGAGCTGTCCATGGGGAAGACCTAACCACACGTTGGTACATTCAGAAATTACAGGTTAACTGGTGAGTCTTTGTGCTGATATTGATGGGGCTTCTTGGCCACCATGCATCCACCCACTCTCCTTTCAAGCCATGTGAGCCAAAATTCCAGGCCTAAGGAAGTCAGATGAGAAGGCTAGAGGGAACTTAAGATCAACAGCAACATCACCCTCCCTTACAGAGGAGCTCTTTAGCCATGAATTTCTGCAGCATCAGCTGTTTTGGCCTGATTAGTTCACTCTTCAGGAAGCGGGATGGCAGGAACATGTTGTCCAATCCCATTTAGCAGTTCCTACCTCTCCTCCATGGCCTGTGTTCACTGCTGGGACAAGTCTGCCCTGTCACATTCAGCACAGGCTCATTCCTGGAGCTCAGAGCACCTATCAGCTTCTGAACAGAGGCTTCTGTTCTTGCAAACAAATTCAGTAGAGCAGGAGGCAGCAGCCAGTGTCAGGACCTGAGCAAATTTCATTCCAACTCAAACAGCTTCAGCCTGGCCCCTTGAAAGCCGAAGCAGAGAGAAACTGTACTTTGAAATTAGGTCATTACAAGATGGGAGAAGGGGATATTGCTACTGAGCATGTGAGTAGGAGAACAATGGTGAGGGGGTGGTTAAGATTAAACAGCTAGAGAGAGATTAACATCTCATGATTGATTTTTGTTCACTGACCTGCAATAAAATAAACAGTAAGACTTGAACAAATAGGTGATTAGCCATGTTATTCCAGTGCTGTCTTTGCTATTAGAGTACTGCAATAGGCTTCATTTTTCATTGGCTAATACTTCCTGGGTTTTATAGATAAGGCTAGTGGAATTAAGAGGAGTAAGCAACAGAAATCTTGCTATGCTAATAAGCACAAAAACAGTGTTTCATTTTCAGAGTGAAAGTCCCTGCCCCTTTGCTATTCCCTGCCCTGTTGGCTGGCTAGTGTCTGATTGTCTGCACAGAAAAATCAAGCCCAGTAGATCAGGTGTTTTGCTGTTCACATTTTCAGACAGCCAAAATCAGGGAGCTGAAAGGTGCTTGTAGATGTGTGCACAGTGGAACTGGTGAATGATAGCTTTCTGCCACCTTGACTGAAATTTCCTCCTTTCCTGAGCTATATTGTCTCCTGAATAAAAAAGGCTTTGTGTGACCAGACCAATTAGCCAGGACAACTGGAAACTCTTTTCTGAGCTATGCAAAAAGCAATGGACATAGTTCAGAGCTCAGATGACATGCAGAGTCACAAATTTGTTCAACAGGACCCAGAAGAGACCTCTGGTCATATGTGCATACTGAGGACCAGTTGTCACATGCATGCAGTTGATGCCTACCGCTGCACTGTGATACTATCCACAGTGGGAAAGGTAAGAGACCATTCTGGATCTGTTCTAAGTACCTGACATTGTGGTAGTGAGGCCTCGTGCAGCAAGTGGGGAACCAAACAGGGCATCTTCTGCTTTCCCTTTGGCAATTTAAGAGCTGCCCATTGTACCCCGGAAACTGACTCCAGTAGCAGAACTCATGGTGGCAACTTGGTGCTGCAATTCACAGCCCAGTTTATGACACTGAAATCAGATGGTTTCAGCTAACACTCTTGGCTGCGAGCAACACAGCAGCTGAGGCACAGACATATCGCCTGCAGTACTGGAGGTGCTAACTTCTTAAATTGCCCCACACAGGCTTATGAGTCAGATTCTTTAGACCATAGCCAGGGTTAACCAGAGTTACTAGAGCACTGTCCATGCAAGCAAGCCCCAATTTCCCCCTTATTTCTGCTACAGTAATCCAGACTTCAGACATGTCACTACTGACTCTCTTGCTATTCCTGAAAATTCTCACTTATTTTGGTGAAGAGCTTTTTCCTAGTCAGATGTCAGGTGGAAACATCTAGCATCCATCTTGGAATGTCAAAATTACCCATTTTGTGTGAGATATTGGTTTACCTGTAGGACAAAAATATAATCAGTCTGTTCTGAAAATCATCAATTTTGTCAGGATGGAATCTAATATACTAAGTGCATAACACTATATATCTTGAAGATGCAGCCAGCAGTAAGAACAAATACGAGAGTCAAAGCAATGAGAAATTCAGTTTTACTCAATCTCTCTAAAACAATGTAAAGGATACTGGTTCCACAAGGGGAATCATGGTTGAAAGATAGCCAGCAGTAAGAACAAATACGAGAGTCAGAGCAATGAGAAATTCAGTTTTACTCAGTCTCTCTAAAACAATGTAAAGGATACTGGCTCCACAAGGGGAATCATGGTTGAAAGACTGAGCATCTCTGCTGCATTTTCTATATCTAAGAATGGTTAGAGGTGCTCAAAACAGGAACGAGCCCAGACTGACTCCAAAAAGGAGTTTGTTTGTAGCAAAGCAGAGTCAGAGAACACCAACTGCCAAATTCTGCACAGACTGTCACCAGGTCATGTGCTGTTATGGAAGTGATCTGCCAAGTACTTGCACACAGGTATTCCCACTGCCACTGCTAAAGATGTCATCCATTTACGTGAAGCAAGTATGTGGTGTGGTTGCCAAAGACATCCAGGGCTAGACTTCATGGCCTTTCGTGGGGACTTGCATTAACATCCATTGTTGAAAGAACTCGTGTGCAATCCATGCAGCAATAACTGTTTTTCTACATCATTCATCATCCCAAAGATCTACCCACCAGTTTGCCATACAGTTGGACTCGATCTTAAGGGTCCTCTCCAACCTAAATGATTCTATACGCAAGCAATTACACTTTGAAAGTCAGTGTGACATTACCATACAGTTGGACTCGATCTTAAGGGTCCTCTCCAACCTAAATGATTCTATACGCAAGCAATTACACTTTGAAAGTCAGTGTGACATTAAAGCACTGCAACAACTTTCCACTAACTTTGTATTTCTTGCATGCTCGCACTGCTTATTGCTAGTTCCATTGAGTCCAGGTCAGCAACCCAGCCAGCCAGCCGACAAAATGCAAGCCTTGAACAGTGTACTTACAGTAATAGCAACAATACATCAAGTCAAGTACAACAGTCAAGCAAACATCATAAGGAAATCCAACAGGATGAAGGCAGGTGGTCTGAAGTAACTAAGAAAGCTTGGAAGAATAGACCTGAGTATATTAAAGAGGGTGGAAGGGTATGTATCTAACCTGTCTGGAAATGGTGAGTACACATTAGCCCTTGTCATTTAATAGGGATACAGTTAAAAACAACATTAATGAAGTTGTTTGTGATGGAAGGTTTCCTATTCCCCCCATCTGTTTCACCAGAAGACACTCTTGTCTTTCTCTTTCCTTTCCTGCTACAGCACTGAAAGCCCTTTTCTTTGGCATGAAACCTTGTAAGCAAAGCTGCGCCCCACTAAGTCTCCCAAACCTTGCCCTGGTCTCCCTCCTTACAGCCACAAATACTCATTTGTTCCACTGGAGGTGGAGACTATGTAGTTGCAAATAGAGCTCTTAAATAAATTAGATCTACAAAGCTGTTCATCTGCATGCCAAGTTAACTGATGAATCATGTTGACAAAGTCTTTACATGCTTGAATGAGTTTCCCTAAATACATAAGATTGTAAATCTGGTTTTGGAGTGCGGTAGTTTCTTTTGATCTGAAGCCTCACCTACTGGTGATATAAGACATTTGTATAACCAGCTTTGCATATTCCATGAAGCAGTTTGTTTTTAAAAGTCTAAGATTTAGGTGCAAGAAAATGATAATCAGAATAGACACAAGTCAAGGTTTGTTCCAGCCCTGCACCAAACAAGAAAAAAACAGAGGAAAAGTTCCAAAACATAGGAATACAGTTTTCCATAACCTACTAGCTGTGCTTTACTGTTTAAGCACCTCTGCTTTAGCATTAAACAACAATCCTTCCTGGTTCCAGATAGAAAGCAACTTGAGTTAAATGCAACTTGCTCCCTTTGAATTTTTAAAATAGGCTTTAAAAGGGAAAAAAATTGAACCAACTGTCCCAAACTGATTTACAATGTTAGCCAGTATTTCAGATATTGATAAACATCTAATAAGAACAATTTTATTTCAATCTTTTTAGTCTTCAGGGATGCAGCAGTTAGCCACACACCAGGAATGGACTGAAACTTTTAATTGCTATTTCCTCCTAACACATCTGTGTTAAAATCTGTACACAATAGAAGGGATTAGTAGGCAAAAGCTAACAACACCACATGAGATGGAGTCTTTTCCTCTTTCCAGGATAAAGTGGGTGACAAAGTATTGAAATTAAAGCAAGGTTCATCTACTCTCAAAAGGAAAGATTACCACAGAACAAATTTAGGCAAGAGGTAATTGACACAGAGTGGGGAAGCAGAGGAACAGACTTACAGCAGAAAGTACTCAGTTCTGCTGAGTTCAACAGCTTTCAGGCAAAGGAGGTTCTGTAAAGAACCATTCCTATACACACATCCCCCATTGGGTCAGGCGCACCACATGAAACAGTTGATACCAGCTGAAAGTGTAGCCCACTCCAGTTACACAATAATTCACTTCCATATAGCATCAGCAGATGCAGCCCAAATATAAGAGTCCCACATGGTAAATGCAATAAATGCTATAACTACAATAAAGACAAAACATGAGATCTCCCTGCAGCCTAGAATGGGCCCTTTTGTGTTACTTTTTGCAGATGCAGCATTAGGACTATGGTATATAAAAGCAACCACAGTGTTTGCTCACAGCTTTCACCGCAAACTGCCAGAAATGGGAAAGGTAAATGGAAGCCCCAGTATGTCAGTAACCTGCTCTGACACAGACACTGGGATGGACTATAAATCTTTGCAAATGTTTATATTGCAGATCTTTTTTATGAAGGCAAGGGCTTCTGGGGCCACTGCTCTGAATGTGGCGGGGACCACATTAATGTGCAGTCCTATGTGAAGCAATGCAATACCATCCACATGGAAAAGGGCAGCTGGATGATTTACAAGAACCCCAATTACTCAGGACACCAGTACTTTTTAAAAACAGGAAATTATCCTGACTTGCAGAAGTGGTTCAGTCTCTGCAACACCATCAGGTCTTGCCATGTAATCCTACAAGTGAGTTCTGCTTGGCAGCATATCACAGTTTAAGAAATTCAGTATAGTTTATCCTTTAAGGATATAGTTATACAGTCTCTTCAATTAACTCAAGAAACAGGCAAAGTTCAGTAAAGGCAATGCAAAGTTTCAATGGAGATGAAGGAAATAATCTGTTTAATATCAGTGCATTTTCCAGGACCTGTTCATAACCTGGAGGTGCTAAAAGAAAGCTGAGTGATTATTTCTAGGTAGAGAATGTTTTTACATGGCCCAGGGAAGGACTAGCAGCGCCAGCTGATACAGAGTTCTGCTGTAGGCTGATGTATGCAACTTGCTCATGACCATGCTATATTATGATTCAATAACACAAGAACATGTTAAATCAGTTTTGCAATGGTACTGCTTTCCTAACATAAAAGCTGTGTTGGTTAAAATCAAGCAAAGAATCAATACTTGCTGAAGTACTTCTCTGGTTATTAAGATATACTGTACAGTATAAGCCATAGCAGCAGGAACACTCCACATGCCCATGCTTCATGTAGCTCAGCAGTTTGCCATATGGCAGTTGCCTGCACACCAGTGTATAATGGGAGCATGTGGAGTAACATGATAAATATCTTTTACTAGAATAGTTCTGAAAAGGCTACATTATTCATGCCCAGTCATAAGTAAGTACCACAGGTTGTCTCAAAGTCACATGAATACATTTTCTCCTATTGCCACTATATAGAATCCTTATAAATGCCATTTCTTCAAATCATAAAGCATCCTCCATTTACTTCCTACCATACATATGATCATACCCATCTGCTGGCACACTTGAGCTCCTCCACGTGGCTAAGAATTAAACTTCCTCTATTAGCTTCAAAAGAGTGAATCTCTTTGCAGTCCTGTCTCCAGATTAGAACACAATTTCTCAGAAATGCACATAGTAGCTGGGAAAGTTGCCTTTTTCTATATGGCTGTCTTGTTTAGTAATGTCAGAATCAGTTGAATTTGTCTTTCCTACAGTTTTACTGTTTGCCACTGCAGAATTCCATTTCCCATAATATTTAGCTCTATAAAAAGAGAAGCTCCAAGGCCAAGTCTTGGAGCTCACTAATGAATGCCCATCAGACCCAGGCTACATATATCTCCCCGACATCTGCTCCCTCGATGTTTTAGGTGGCTCTTGGATCTTGTATGAAATGCCCAGCTTCAGGAGCCGACACTATTTACTGAAATGAAAGGAATGCACCAGATTCCTTAACTGGGGTGCAGCAAATGCCAAAATTGTGTCTTTGCAGAGGCTGGCTGACTTGCACTGAGTTACTGCTCCCACACTAAATAAACAGTGAATGCATTCCAAAATCCTTGTTCAAACGAATCTTTCTTCAGTACTACAAACAAACTAAAGTTGTGCAGTCCAGGGGAAAATCCAATTTCTCTCACATTTTAGGGGGAGAGGGAGATTACATTAAAAAATATTCACAATTATCCAGCTTGCCACAGTACATGATAATTTAAATAACTGTTAAAGGTCCAACTGCATATTGGTAACCCTGGTAAGTGTAGGGGAAGGTCCGATTCTTTCATCTAAGTTTCCCCCAGTTTTACAAGTTTTGATCTAGGTATAGATTCCAGCTCTATACTTACCAGGATTAACAATATGCAGTTGGACCTTTAACAGTTAAATTATCATGCACTGTGGAACAGAAAAAGTAAGTCCTATTAATAGTTATATCCAGTGAAGTACTGACTGAAGAGGAAAAGGACAGAAAGATGCAGAGGAACTCAGGAGAAGGCAAACACTGTATTTGGCACCAAATTCTTCATGCAGACAAGCTGCTTTGTGCTACCACCAGTCCAGCAATGCTTTCCAGTCTTATCCCAGATGATTCCTCCAGAAAGAATTTCCCCAGATCCTTAAATTGCATCACCTTTATATAGCGTGTTTTAGTGAACCTGTACGTCATGAACTAAATGTTTAGCTGGTGTTAATCGCCCCGCCTCTACTAACTTCAGAGCTGCACTGATCTGCTGCAGCAGGAGATTGAGCCAAATCCCTCAATTGCCAGGCTATTCTGCATGCAAAAGGAATTAAATGAGCATACCAGTGTGGATTAGAAACAGGACAACATCTTGTTGTGCTGGAAAAAGTCTACTGCAGCATTAATTATCATTCAAGTAATTATGTATAGGCCTTCTAATCATCACTGAGTCCTGTGCCAGCAGGCACTCTGTGCAATAATGAATGACAGCCATAATAAAATGTAACAAAACACAGTTAAGGGATCTCACATCTTAACGTACCTCTTCTCACTTCAGTAGTGGAGCCTAGACTTTTTTCCAGGCATAGTTAGGCAAATATACTACTGCTCTTCAGCAAGGTGCTGGAGACTTTTGGAAAGAGAAAGCAGTACAGAGAGCACAAAACTACAAGGACACTCTGCAACATTATCTAGCATATGTTTAATTTTAAAGTATTTCAACTGGGCATTAAATGGTAGCCTTTGATTTTGTTTTGCCTAGTAAACATTCCGGTAATGGAGTCCTTGAATAAAACCAAGCTACTTCTAAAGCAGTGAGGTAATCTGCTTAAAACTCACATCTCCACTTGCTAATGTCAGAGACCTCATTTAGCCATTATTTCAGGCTCACATGACCCATCAGTAATAGCCTGTTAGTGATCCTCACCAGCCTTTCCCTGACAACACTGGAGAGGAAAATAGAACTACTCTTTGCCCTTCTCGTCCTTTCTTTTGTACATGGGACACTATCTCTGACCTCCTGCCTGTCCTTTAGTGCACAAAGTAGGCTGTTCAGCTGCTGCAAATGTCTGGTGTACATACGAACACTGTGCTTCCGCCACAGAGAAATGGAGCATGAACAATTCAGATCTCAAGGCAGAGGTGTGAAAAACCCTGTTTGTTCTTGTTCACAAATGCTTAATATTGTACATTTATAGGAACTGCACAGTGTAAGTAATGTGTGTTAGCATGCTTAGGCTAGCGTGCTAACCCAGGTTTGCAAAATAACACAGCAGTTCAAGCACACTATCTACTTGCCTGCTTAGAACAGGGAACTAAAATATTTCATTTGCCTTCAGCAAGAATAAAATAAAAAACAGACCAGCTCCCCAGACAGCAATTAACATGTGTGCATACTCCAACAAAGTATCTAGTTCAATTAGTGCAATTGAGAAATATGGCTACATAGGGATGTGTAGGTTACATGCTGGCATTGCTTTGGTCAGAGGCAAGAATGAACAGAAACATACTATTCAGTGATCAGAACAATAGTTAGATGTCTGGATTCTTGACTCTGCCATATTCTAGAGTTTGGGGGTGGCTAAACCTCTCCAAATTTCTCCACCTAAGACAGGAACGGTGGCAATTCCTAGTTTTCAAGGAGCACTGAGAAGTTTTACTTGCTTCTGTTTGCAAACGCTCAGAGAATCTCAAGCAGACATTAAGAACAAGGGTGCTAGAGGAGATCAGCACTGGGAATTCACAGAAAGCATCCAAGTTTTTGCTAACAAGTCTTCTAGGTTCCTGTAGCTTTTTTTATGGTTGAAAGCAGGCACTACCATTACTGGCATGCAGAGTATGTTTCTCTATACAAACACTCACTGCTATTTTCAGATTATCCCTACGCTTGAGTTTTTCTGGGGTGCAAAAAGCAGTCAATCTCCACATAAAAGCAGCTGCCATAACAGCATACTAGTTGAAGGTAGTTGGAACAGATGTAAATAGCCACACTCCTCAGATCATGGATACCGTTTGGCCAACAAGACATTTTGGCTCCAGAGTTTAAGATCAACCCACAGCCCTTCCTGCAGTGCACAGCCCATCTGTGGCATAGGGATCTGGTAGGGAAAAGTCCACAGGATTCAAGGAGAAACTGGGTGGGTACTTGGAAGACAAATCCACTGACTGTTATTAACCAGTGAAAAGAAATCTCCTGCTCAAGAAACATCTTGAGCTAAAAATACTTGAGGTCTTGAAGTTTAAACGAAGTTATAATATGTATTTTCTTCCTATCTACCCTTCCCTCAGTGCCTACTCATGGTCGCAGTTGCTGCCAAGTTACCTGACTAGCTGGACCACTAGTCTGACCCACAATGGCTGCTCTACATTTGTAGCTACAATAAGGAATTCACATATCACTGCCCCTACTCCGGTCTCTCAAGTTCCAAACTTCATCACCAAGCCCAGTGCCCACTGTATTAAATTATGAAGGACAATACAGGACCCAAAAGGCAAGCAGGCTCCACAAAGCAAGCATGCTCTCAGAAAGAACAAAAGAAGTGTAAAACTTCCGAGCCTGTCAAAGATGTTTGAGAAGCGCAAGAACAGGCCTGCACATAGAAGTTGTTCCTGTAAGTGAAATCAATTTGCTTAGCATTAACCATCAGAAAAGTTATTTTTGATCCAAAGAAAGCATGGAGGTATTCAGAAAGCAACTGCTAGACTTAAATTCACACTCTTCCCTCAGTCTGCTTTCAGGCTACAGTTTCCTGGCTAAGGAAGCACCTCCAAGAGAAGCTGACAGGAATGACATCATTTACAACACCCATTAGAAGCACAACTAGTATCCATCCTTCAACTTCTAGTCTCTTTATCTATGAACTCTGAATTATGTTAATATAGAATTTCAGCAGTGAAGCCTGGATGGATGTAAACATCCATTACCACACATTTTTGATTACATTATTTTCTCTCTCATACATACTCTTACTGTTAAAGGAAACAGGCAGCAATACCTGGTCTCAAGGGTCTTGGAAAATCAGGACAGTTTTTATTAGCATATTGTGAAAACTGTTTTACAGTATCATCACTGGGAATCTATATGCATTAAAAAACCTTTCTCATAATCATGGAACAGAGAGATTAAAAATAAAGTGACATGAAACAATTCTGCTGCAGCATTTCCAGCATTTTCACTTGTACATGTTCCATCAGTAAAATAACAGAAATATTTCTTGACCTACCCTTTATGATGATCCTCTGCTTACTGACAATAACAATAAAGTTTGCACCCCACAGACTACTTCTATTGCCTTTTGTTTAGAGAATGGCAATGGAGAGAGGATGGGGGAAAACACATTCACTCACTCTACTGAATAAAAATTATCTTTTATCCTATTCCTGTGGATGCAGCACTGTGCATTCTATATAAAGGACTGCTGACAAGTCCTGCATGCTGAGGTCTCACAGCTAAACCCTGGCAAAAATGACAAAAGTAAGAACAGCTGAGTTAATGGAGCACTGACAAACAACCTAGCACATGCATAGCTCCTTGTAGGCAAGTACATTTGCAAACATAGTTTGTTGGTCTACCAGAAAATTAGCAGAGGGGAAAACTTGAGTGGTTGTTTTATTATCTAGTTCTTTGATAAGTTTCCTAAAGAAAGCCTAGTGTACTTGGAAGCTTTCAAATGCTGAAACATTTACACATAAAAATACTATGTCTTGTTTTTCTGTCTGGCTAGTTTCCCTTTGAGTTTGTCAGCTGCTGAAAGAGATGTAAAATTCATATATTCATAGACTTCCAAGATGTAGAGGAAAAGAAGGTTGAAGTACTCTATTCTAAACAAATGTAATAAATATCATCAAATAATGCCACTGAATTTAAGAGTCTCTAACTTGATGTTACTGCTGCTAAGATATAGCTGCCTAACAGGACCCAGAGTGCTCAATGATTAACTCAGATTAGACACAAGTCTTGTTTTGTTCCTGTATCATTAAGAGAGATGAAAGCTTCAGCACAATTCAGATGTAGGAGAATTACTCCTTCCTTTGTCTGTATTCTACACTGCAGAAGATTTCTAGGAGCCCAGGACTAGGTGCAGGAGATGGGCACAACGTTGAATGATTGTGTGATACACAGAAGTCGTCCATGGAGCTTTCAAAGAGCAATTTGGGTTTCACTTTCTCCAAATGCTCCCAAAAGCTTGCCATGAAGCTGCTGACAGGCTATTTCCAGCATAAAATCATGATGAAATTTGCCCCCTGCTTCCCAGAGTCTCAAAGGGACATCTACCTGTCATTTGCAGTATTAGAGAAACGAAGACACCAGTAACTGTCTATGCGTCCTATAGAAAATGGACACAAGGGCTTTGCTAGTCTTTGGGCCTAGTAAAAGTGTCCCTATGGACCCTTGCAGTCTTTGGATTGTTTTGTACAATCTAGGCAAAACAAAGCCAGCTTTCAAGTACTTTCCAGTGTGACTGGGGTTACTTTTGTTTTATTGCAGATCACTTTCTTTGACAGAGACTGAGGGCTGCTCCTGTGAAGCCACCACAGACTAGCCAGACCTGCATGCCCACCTCAACCGCTGCAACTCTAAGGTGGAAACTGGCTGCTGGATGATCTATGAGCATCTCAACTACATAGGCCATCAATACTTCCTGAGGAAGGGAGAATATCCTGACTACCAACACTGAATGGGCTTCAATGACTCCATTAGGTCTTGTTGTATCATCACAGCAGTAAGTTTTCCATATTGTCTCCATATATGTTACTGCCTATATTGGAATCAGAGCATGACACCCCATTTTGACAGCTCTGTCACAAATAACAACTTCCCCAGAGGGTAGTAAAAAGTACACTTACCAAGTTCACCTAATGGGGTTTAGACTCCCAAAGAGGTAGATAGGTCAATTGGGATTCTCAGCCAAATGAGTGGTTGGCTAGTGCTTGGGGGTGGGGGGGAAGTTTATTGTATTAATTTTTATTTTACTAATATGTTTCTCTATTGTTTTATATATATAATCACTTCACCAATCTTTTAAAACCACTCTAGTTATACATGATCTACACAAGGAAGTTTAGTACAGAGCTGAGAACCAAACCACATCTCCCATGCCCCAGTCAATGCTCTTCTTTCAAGGTAGGCAAAATTGGTGACTACACTACTACAGAGGCAACCTGACATCCCATTGCAGAGACACTACCATGTATTTGAGCTGCAAATGAAGGCATATTTGCCTCATGATAGATATTTTTCCTTAATACTTCAGCCCAGAATAAAACCATGTTTTTCCCCTCCTAGACTCATTCCCTGGAAGAATTTTACTAAGAGGGGAGAGGTTGCCAAGATGTGAAAGATTTCACTACTTGCACATAAAGCTAAGGATTTGAGATTTGGCCCAGGAATAGCCTTGATGCTGGAATGTGTCCCTCCAAAGTTCATGAAAAATTAAGTTCATCCATGTTGTAAGCTTTATGTACAATTCAGTTTTCCTGTCCAGTAGGAGCTTCATAGACTATCACATCAAGTTTCCAGATACATTCCATCTGCATAGGTTAATGCAGCTGGTTTTTTCACTGACATGCAGTTCTGGGCTTCACTTAGGTAAGCCAAGTTCTGAATCCAACTGCTGAAAGCTAATGCAGACACTTTTGTCCTTTCAAGCTGTAGAGAGAAAGAAGTCACAGATGAGGAGAGTAGGAAAAAGAGTGAAGGGAAGTCAACTTGGGAGACTGATGGGAAGTATCTGAGAAGGAGCAGAGAAACTGAGAATTAGTATGGTGGTAGAATAAAAGTCCTAAACTTAGGACACATTTCTGCATACTTTCCAGATTCAGAACAAGAGTGTCCAGAAAGTCTGATTCCACAAATGTAGATCCTAAAGTGTTGGGTTGTGTTGTGTTTTTTAAAACCAAGTAAGGTATTGGTCTTTGCACAACAGCAGTACTCTTGTGTCTATACAACTGCACTTGATCATCTGCAAAAACTGACGCATTGATGCAAGAGCAGAAAGTATTTTGCTATAACAAATCTTTGCTGTGCTAGATACAAGACTCCAAAACAGTCTTGAAACAGTTTATCATCTTAGTAGACAAAAAGCAAAAAACCTGCCCACTTAAGGCTGTGCAACAAATAAGATCAGGAAAACCTCCCCTCTGTCCCAGCCAGAGCCTGTTCCAGTTAGTACATCAACATCTAGGAACACTGAGGGCACATGACTGCTGTGGCAATCTAGGTATATCACTGAGCTTATTTCTTACCTGCATGTACAGTTGAAGTGTGGTGATTTTGGCTGGATCCCACTTCTGCTTCCTGCCTTACATCAACTCTTTCAAAGCAACTGCAGTTCTGCTTTCACTGGAGCAGAAAGGACTCGCAGGACTGCTGCTTTAAATTAGGACCTAGCCAGATTTATTCCTGTTAAACTGACTTTTCTTCATATACTAGTGGCTACTCACTGTTGTGTTGCTAGCATCAGTATTGCATCTAGCAAGCCATAGTCACCTAGTCCTGCCACTTGACATCCTGTGCATCCATGTCTGGATTTTCCTTCACAGCCCCAGGAGCACAGCTGGCTACAGATCTATGACCAGCATGACTTCAGAGGCAGGATGTAGGAGTTCATGGATAACTGCCCTTCTTTCCAGCATGATTTTCACTACAGAGACATCCAGTCTCATAATGTACCTGAAGAAAGCTGGGTTTTCTATGAACACCCACACTTCCAAGGACAGCAGTACCTCCTGAGGCCTGGCAAGTACAGGTACATCACTGACTGGGGTGCCATAACAGTCAAAGTTGGATCCTCCCAACCAACAGTGGATATTTCCTAACCAGCACTTCCCTAAGTTACAGTTCAATGAGTAATGCCATTAATACTTTATCAAGGCCAAGGAGTTTGAGAGCCTACATGAATTAGGCTGCCTTTTCTTGCAATGCTTTTAGTCTTTGATTTAGAGCCCAGTAGAGTCAGAAAGTGTCATGATTACAGTGGGCTTCAGAGTCTGTGCTTGCTTTACTGGTAGGAGTAATTACCCTGAAGTCAGTAGAAATGAGCTGGTAACACCCAAGCTCAGAGCAAACCTCGATCTAAATTGCCAAGTTGCATTTTTATCTGCAGTCTCAGATCAATTTAAAAATAGTATCTTTGAAGAAAAATATTATTTCAGGCCTTAGAGGAAAAAAATTAAATACATTCTTCATTTATGATAATGAAAATCCAAAAATCCACCTGTAACTGAGTCCATGGGACCAACTCAGTGCTAGAATTTATTACAGAGTGTATCTTACATCTTGAACAGTCCCATAAAAGCAATGTCCTTCTCAGAAGTAGTTCTCCTGTGAATAGACTGGCAAGTTCACAGCCACAGTATCATCACGTAGGTACTGCATACCAAACCTGCAGCTATGACACTAAATGACTTAAGACAGAGCAAAGCATTTACAGTATTTACTGTCTTTATTAATAAAGAATTATTTCTGTCAATGACTATTTGTAATGCTACCAATACCAAAATAAATCTTTCAGTTGCTTATTCCCTTCATGATAAAAAACCAGTCCTGGTACACAATAGTTCCTGCTGCCATTTGACATTAAGTTCAGAGTTCTGCACAAGACTGCATCACTCCTATTTCTATCTCAGGGCCTACACTATGCTCTTTTGTTTAGCCAGAACCTCACACTGTTTGTAGACATGAACTCATGTTGACCCTCCATAGCACAGAGAAGTAGCAACTTTCCCTAGGGTCAGCAGTTAGAAACCAGAAGCAAGACCCATTATGTTAAAGAGTCTACAACCCATTCAGTGTGCAAGTGGGCCCCCACAAATCTCACACATACTTTAACAGCACACTGTTTACACGATACTGCAGGATCTTTAAAACTCTGCTTTCAGGTTTTACAACACTAGCCATCATTCAGGTTTCTATACCCTCTCTGTGTCAGGAATTCAGCTAGTAGAGTCCCTGGAGGATTCACAAAGGCACAGGGAAAGGCACAGCCTTGGTTTCACATCCCACTCAGAAGCAGACACTGTGCTGCAGCCAACATCTAACTTCTGGGAGGCCATGGTGCTAACGTTCTGCAAGAATCCCACTTCTAGCAGCAGTTGGAGCTTTCCTAAGCCCATTTCTCTTTAGTTAATTCCCTTCACTTGCATTCTTCCCCAAACCAAGAGGATTTAGGCCCCAGGTTGCTATAGCAGGCGTTCTCAGGACAACCTTACCCTGCCAACTGAGAGGGAATTAAGTTCAGATAGACCACCAGAGACTACCTACACATCCTTAAACTTTGGTTATTGCCATGAGGTTTTTTGGTTTGTGGGTTTTTTTTCCTGATGCACTCATTGCTTTCAGGAGCCATGCTGCAGATCCAGAACTGCTGAGCACTGCAACATAATAAAATCATTCATTAAACAACTTCTTAACTAAAGCAGAATGATTTGAATTGCAAGCATGGTAACTTCACTGATCACTGGCAATAAGATGGTGGACAGTAAGTTTGAGTGAAAAGTCAGTTTGGTGGAAGAAAGAGAACACTTTTACAATGCAATCTTATGCAGAAACAACTGGTGTCTTCGAGCATCTGCAAAACAAAGACAGCTGTAGGATGGGTGTACACATGCTAGCTCTAGCATAGCTGACCTAAATGACAGCAGAGGAGAGGCGCAGTTCTAAGCCTGAACACCCACCCACGAATCTCTACTGGCTGTTAGAGCTTGTAAGAACCTAGGCAGATCAAGGCATATAAATGCATACTATATAGTATGGAAGAGTCTTTGAGATGTACCCTACACAAGAACATTCCTAGCACAGCTGCAAACTTATGGCCTGTGGTAAGGGAGCCTATGCTACAGAAAAGGAGCAGACGAGATCAAGTCACTGCTTAGGCCTTTTACAGCAGGGGATTCATTATATTGAAAGCCCCCTGTAGAAACAAGCTGAAAGGACAAAGAAGGACAAAAACACTTACCACAGTCCCAGGGTACCCTGGGGTAAATTCCTTCCTGAATTTAATCCTGGTGAGTAGTTTAAACCTGCATATATGAAAGCAGAGCAGCCAGGGGCCAGAGGGGCTTAATGCTGTTAGCCAGACCAGAACATACGTTTGTCTATGGCCAGTCTCCAGCACTTTGAGAGAAAGCAACTAAAATACCTTGATACCAGCTTATGTGTCAAGGGGCAAACAAATTCCTTCCCATTTCCAAGTTTTATAAACAACTAACAAGCCCTAAACTACCTGGGGTACAATGTGAATATGGTGACAGAAGGAAGATTAAACACTAATTAAGTTTATATTAGTTAACTAACAGAACAATTGCACACTTATTTTGTGCAATCATAGCCGCAGAAACTCAAGGTAAGCTGATCCTGTGCTACCCTCAGCAAAACACTCTCTCAGAGGCCTTGGCATCTTGCAAAGGCCAACTTGCTCCTTTCCAATAGCCACACCAAATGCAATCTCAAGTTAATTTGGCTTCAGTGTCTACAAACTAGCATTCACAAAATCCTATTTCTTTACATACAGCAAAAGGTATTTTGCTAGTGGGAGTTCTACACACAGCTGCCAAGGCCACTTGCTTACTTCGAATGTAAAGATTACTCCTTGCTTCTGTGCAAGGGTCTGTTTGTAAAGGAAGATGGAAGAGTTGAGAGGCAGGTTAATTTCAAGCATATTTCAGGTCTTCATTGTTAGTAAAGAAAGCATTAGCCCTAAGACATCACACAAAACTTCAGATAGACCTATGGCAAAGCTTTTATCTCAGTATAATTTTTGCTGGCCTAGAGCAAAGTAGAAGCCTTAGAGCCAAACAACAGATTTGAGAATATATGAAAGTCAGGTACAGATTTTTGTCTTTTTCATTTGCTTCTACAGAAAATAAGTATAGCTTAACAAAAGCATTACTATAAGGGATGTGGTTTCTCCTACCACTTCAGAGGTCCCTGGACTCAAAGCTGTAATCCAATACAGTTCATTCCTTTATTGAATCTTTCCTTAACCTTGAATTCCTGCCTTCTCCCTATCCACACCCTTCTCTCTACTCATTCTGTTACCTGAACTTGCTGACTGACAAGTTCAGTCCATAGCAAGATGACTAAGTTACCAAAATACAGCTACTGAAGAGAGAGAAAGTACAAACCCACAAGTAGTTAATGAACTATGAGAAACAACCACTGTTGTAAATAGACAGTTACCACAAGAGCAGCTAAGGGACAATGAAATACAAATGAACACTGCCTACCTGGCTATTTAATGCCCATGTAACAATTGGTACATAATTATAGAAGGGAAAGTGATGAAAAGTCTAATAATTAGCTTTCACAGCTGGACCAATCCATAAACAGTCACATTTTAAAGTGCCCATACATGGCTGGTAATGCTTCTTTTTACATCTTCCTGCATTCTTTGACTTCCATGTACTTAGCTGAGTCTTTATGAAGATAAGCATGCTAAAAATATACATTCATCTAGAATTATACTACACCCATGGACACAAAGTTGCAGCCTACTTTTCTCCACTGACCTCTCTCATTATTGCTCATATTTGCATTTGAGCAAGAACTCATAGTGAATACTGAATGTCTTTCTGTACCAACAGGGAGAGACTGAACTTGACCTACACCCAGCAATACAGACATCCAAAAGCCAGCTTAACAATTTTACAGTGAGCTACCAGGCTTAGGAAAACCTCTAGGAGGTAAGACCAGGAGATTACTCACCCTATATGCCACTGGAACAGGCTGTCCTGTTGCAAAACACAAATGCTCTGCTTTCCCTCCAGAGCACCTACATAAGGCAAGAACTGCCCACACAAGCAGCAGTAATTGCCTAGACCCACTAGGGTAACTATGTCACTACAACTCCAATAGAGTGGAAAATGGCTGCTTTATAGTCTGTGAGCATCCTAATTACGTGGGCGGCAGCACTTAACAAGGGAGGAGTCTCCCATTTCTGTCTGGGTTTGGATTTTTTTTTTTTTTTTTAAATTGTTTCACTAGAGTTTGTTGCAGGATTTCTGTATGTGGGAGCAGCTGCTATCACTTGGAAAAGTCAGTAATGCAAGAAAGCAGAGCAGTATCTCAAGAAAGGATTGGGGTTTGTACATGGCTTTGCTTGGGCCTGACATCTTCAAAGGGAGCAAGTTGTAAGAGAAGTTTGAAATAGGCTGTTGTTTAGTCTAGAAGAGGCTGTAAGAAGATGTGATAAAAATTTGTAACTCAAAAAGCGTGCTACAAAGAGCTTCCTTTTCCCATATTACTGTGGAAGGGGCAAATAATAACAGGTGATGCAGGTTAGCTGTTAGGGAGAAGCTCCTAGCAGTAACTCAAGCCCTGAGATAAGCCCCTCAAGGAGGAGGCAGGATCTCTTCTGTTCATAGGAGCTGTTCACAGAGAGGGGTCCAGGGTGGTATAAGCAGGGCAGGTCCTGCCCTGGGGACAGAGCTGGACTCTGAGCTATTTTTTTTTTTTTTTTCTTGATGGAAAAAATTATGTTGCAACTTCAAGGCAGGAGACTTGTGGCTAGCAGCAAGTACCAGAGCACATGTATCACATGACTAAAAATAATGTTACAGATATAGTTTTGTCAGTGTTCCTCCATCCGTGCTAGGAACTATGTTTAGATATTGCCGTAAAAGATACTTCTCCCACTCCTGCACTGCTGATCCACATGATACAACACCGAGCACAGATTAGCCCTTAAATTTCTCCAGGGAAACTTCAGTGGTCTTCTAAAAGCAAGGTGAATATACAGAGGCATGTTGCAGGGATTGATCTCAGAATGTATCTTGGCTCCAGGTGACATTTACCCATCCCTAGCAATTTTTTATACCGC